CTCCTGTTGCCGAACCTTTGCTCGTGACCCGGTTACTCTCTGCCTGCTGCCCTGTACCGTTCTGTCTCTGCTGTTACCGACCTGGCTTGTCTGACCCCGCTATACTCCATACTGTCATCCACCCATCCACTCGGATCCAGTCGCTACTGTCCAGGGCCTGCCAGCCTTTTCTTATCAGGCTCTCCTCCCGTACATACCCCTGGCGGTCCTCTCTACCACAGTTGGGCATACCCAGGGGCCGCGACCTGGTCTCAGTTCTGCTCCAAGTCCATCCCCACCATCAGGGGCTCTGGTGAAAAGGCAAACTGGGGCTTAGACTCCGTGCCCTGGGGAATCCCGTTCTGTGGTTCACTAGAGATACCGCCGGGCGGTACCTAACAAAATCAGCTATGAGGAAAGATTAGAGGAACTAAATGTATTCTCTGTTGAGAAGAGGAGATTAAGGCGGATATGATCAACATGTATAAATATAACAGTGGTTCATATAGTGAACTCGGTGTAGAGTTATTCACCCTGAGGTCATCACAGAGGACAAGGAGGCACTCTTTACACCTGAAGGAAAAGAGATTTAATCTCCAAATACGGAAAGGTTTCTTCACAGTGAGAGCTGTGAAAATGTGGAATAGACTCCCTCAAGAGTTGGTCTTGGCCAGCTCAGTGGATTGCTTTAAAAAAGGCCTGGATTATTTCCTAGATACACCTAATATAACTGGATACTAACATTTATAGGTAAAGTTGATCCAGGAAATATCCGGCTGCCTCTCGGTGAATCAGGAAGGAATTTGTTCCCCTGTAGGAGCAAGTTGGATCATGCTTTGCTGGGGTTTTTTTTTGCCCTCATCTGGATCAATTGTGGGTATAGGATTATAACTTTTTTTTTGTTGAACTGGATGGACTTTTGTCTTTTTTCAGCCAGACTAACTATGATAAGTGCAAACCTTTGTCGCTTTTTATGTCTACATCTGTGCGTTCAGAAGGGTTTTAACGGAAATCCTTTTAAACCTTAAACTTCAGTCACACAGTCCACATACCTAGAAGTGCATTATGCTCCATTCCTCTGTGGATATAAAAGAGACAAATAACGTTTGCAGTGCACATCTATTCTCAGCTCTATAATGTGACTGGATTGTTAAACACAAGGAGAATTTCACGCTTCGCTATTTTCAGTGTGCATATATCAATAACTCGTAAATCCTGGACTTGTACAGCTGTGCTGGAGGAGAGTTTAAGGTGATTATTATTATTATTATTTCTGCAGATTATCAGTCCTGCTATACAATGATAAGATTAACTGGATGAAAGGTCATACAGCAGCAGTTGTCTTATTTTTCATAGATAAAATACTATATTGTCCCTAGAGACAGAGCTTATCACCGCTATGGTATAGTATGTGTTCATGTCTCATGCTTGAAACTTTTTTTAATGTTTAAATAATGTGAAGCTGAATACATGACATTGATCACAAAAGCACAGACCAGATAATACAGAGACAAGATTTCTTGTGTTACTGTAAGAGGAAATTAAAGCTATCCACAGACAATATCATGCCTGGAGGTTAAAAGGTAGCCTAACATTAAATATAAAAGCATTAATAATTACTAGTCAGTGTCTAATGGCTTACTACAGTTATTCAAAGTTTCTGGAAGTAAAAAACACTTTATTGCAAAATTCCTTGAAACAAGTTTGCAATGCCAATACTGCCATGGTCTGGGATCAGGCTCGGAAGCCAATGATTTTAGAAGTATAGAGGTTCATGAGTAGTCAGTAGGAAATATACCAGCAGATCTTCCTAGAAGATGACATGCATTCACCTAAGGTGTGGGATCTAACTGCTAGCTGGTATTAACCAGAGCTCCTGGTTGTGGAGATAGGTTTTGTTGTGTGCTAGCACAAGGTTGTGGTCTTTAAGGTTGCCCCACTAGGAGGTGAGCAAGATGGGGACATTTAGCATACATAGGAGGTAGGGATCAAGCAGAAGCATAGTCAGTAAACAAGCCAAAAAGTGGTATCAAGCAGCAGCTGGATGGGTTCAGATGGAAGTGTAGTCGAAGAATAAGCCAAGGGTCGATAATGAGTAGTATCGATGATAAGGACAGTAGCTGGTATGCAAAAAGATAAGATATTGGCTAAAGAGAGCAAAATAATCTGGCAAACAGGAAATGCAGAGACATGGCATATATCATGAAATTCATGGACAGAGCATAGGGTTCAAGGTTCACTAAAAGAAAGACACAAAGCAAGGCTATTCAATTAATCAGACAGGAAGCTGTTCAGCATCTCTGGTGGGACATGGAAAGGAGCCACAGCCAGACACTGTAGAGGTTGCAGGTTCAGACCCAGATCCTGATAGATACATTCTTTCTAGAAATATGGTAGAACTGTGGCCAAAGTGCTTGGTTCATCTAGGGGAAAAGGAAGAAGCTGCAATACTTATCTTATTCCTCTCTCATACCATTTACTGTCTACTGCATACTGACATTATTCCCTCACAGTGTGTAAACTCTTGAAATTCTAGCATACATTGCAGGACTACTACGATGGTCAGCGAGGGCTTGTTTTAAATACTGCATGAGAAGAGTTCACATTTGGACCTCAGCTGTAAGTTTAATTTAAAGACATGTTTTTTATTTCTGGATAAGTGGTAAACTTTACAACCTTTGCCATGTTTCAATGCTGTCTCTTTAGGGGAACTTTCTTTTTATTGGTTGTCTGGGTGACCAGTGTCTCCAAAACTGAAAGAGGAAATCTTAAAATGGAAACACATATTTCAGTGACAACTTTCTAAGAAGACATTTCCATCAATTTGGAGAGAGTTCCTATCACATTCATTCACTTCCTGCTGTATTTCCAGCAGTACACAGATAGCAAAAATAAAAACTGACATGGGTTCCAACTATTCCTTACTCTATCCCAAAAAAAAAGCAAAAATAAAACCTGACATAGCACAGTGGCTAAATGGTTAGCCCTTCCACCTGGCATTACTAGGGTCGTTGATTCAAATCCCAACCACAGCACCACCTGCCTGGAGTTTGCATGTTCTCACTGTGCCTGTGTGCCTCCAAGTACTCCTGTCCAAAGACAAGCTGGTAGGTTAATCGGATCCTGTTTAAATTGGCCCTAGTATGAGTATGTATGAATGTAAGTTAGGGACTTTAGATTGTACACCATTGAGGGTTATGGAGTGATGTGAATGTACAAAATATATGTAAACTACTGTGTAAACTGATGGCACTATACAAGCACCTGTAATAAATAATTAAAAAAATAGTATTATCAATTTGGGCACAAAGGTTTTAAGACAGTAAATATATTATGGCTCAAAATAATTTCTTGCACCTAAAAATATAATGTACTTTAATCTAACCTTTGATTTAACCCCTGAATGTTTAACATGAACTATAACAGTACATTTTAAACATTCACAAATACCTGAAATACAAAACTTTGAATAATGACTCTGTCCCCTTAAAAAAAAAAAAATCTTACAATTTGAAATGACTAAAAACTGCAGTTTTGAGAATGCACCACCAGTAGCATCATCTTAATATGCCCTAGAAAGACAAACCCACAGAATTATGGAAGGTTTATCTTATGCCACATAAGACACAGGTATATAAATCTATTTTTATATTTCATCTCCAGCAAATGTGTTTGTGAATCTTCTAAACCTTTTCAGATTATTGATCCAGGTCCTTTCAGATGATCTAAAGGAACTGTGGAAAATTGTTTATTCCAGGAATTTTATCCCAAATATCAAAGAAGAAGCAATGAAATTAAATTACAAGGGTCTGGTACTTGTGTAGCAATAGATTCATAAGAGAGTGAGAAAGGTACTGAAGCAGTTTATAAATCTAAAATAGAGGCTTGGCTGCACCTGTACTTTAACAAAGAGATTCATGTTTTCAGACGTGCACTCTATCCAGAAGATGAGTGAAATAGGATTGTTAAGTTACAATGCCTTTTTCATAAAATGAATGCATTCCCCGCCAACAAAAAGCAATATAACCCAATTTATAATGGGAGATGTCCTTGTCAGCTCATTTATATTTCTGCTCACAGCATTGAAGACGTTGATAATACAACAGAAAATGTATGCATCCCTCCACTTCACAGGACTGGGAAAGAGGCCTCTGTGTATGTACCCATCATACTTATGTTATGATGAGTCCATAAATCCTGCTGCCATATTATATTATGACCTATTGAATGATGCAGGTGGTTACAATTTACAATAGGCCATGCCCATTGTTGTAAAAAGTTGCTTATCAGTATTTTAGCCCAGAAGGCCTGTATTTATCATAAAATGTGTGATAAAGCTGTTCCATGGGTACTAGTGCAAAAAGATGTAACAGATAACCATCCTAATTATTTGTAACTTGCCCAGCTACCAACACTACACCACTACCCCATCATGCAGTATAATTATCTAGTGTAACCTGCCCTTAACGTGCAATAGTAAGAAAGTCTGGTATTACCAGTGGTGTCACTAGGGTTGGCGTCATCCGGTGCAGTAAACCATGGTGTCACCCCTTCCACCCTCCTCGGCTCTCTCCTGTCTAGCCTGCCACAGTGCCTCATGAAGTGTACTCCAAGTTATCTGTGCACGTACCGACCTCTATATAAGACCCCTGGATACCTATACACTTCTATATAAGACCCCCTGACACCTAATAACCTCTATATCATACCACTTGACACCTATCAACCATTATATACTGTAAGACCCCCAATACCTACAGACCTCTCTCTCAATATATATGCATATATATATATATATATATATATATATATATCAAAGAATTTTCCTGTCAGTTAAAGGATCCTGTGAGGGAAGACACAAGAGATGGACAAAGACTGCAGACATACTACAGGAGATGGTCAGAGACTGCATACATACTACAGGAGATGGTCAGAGACTGCAGACGTACTACAGGAGACAGAAACTACTAGCAGACATACTACAGGAGACAGCCAGAGACTGTGGACATACTACAGGAGATGGTCAGAGACTGCAGGCATACTACAGGAGATGGTCAGAGATTGCAGACATGCTACAGGAGACAGTCAGAAACTGCAGACATACTACAGGAGACAGCCAGAGACTGTGGACATACTACAGGAGATGGTCAGAGACTGCAGATATACTACAGGAGATGGTCTGAGACTGCAGACATACATACTACAGGAGACAGTCAAAAACTGCAGACATACTACAGGAGACAGCCAGGGACTGTGGACATACTACAGGAGATGGTCAGAGACTGCAGACATACTACAGGAGATGGTCAGAGACTGCATACATACTACAGGAGATGGTCAGAGAATGCATACATACTACAGGAGACAGCCAGAGACTGTGGACATACTACAGGAGATGGTCAGAGACTGCATACATACTACAGGAGATGGTCAGAGAATGCATACATTCCTCAGGAGATGGTCAGAGAATGCAGACATAGTACAAGAAATGATCTAAAACTGCAGCTATTCTGTGTATAGAGATCAGGGACTGTTAGAAATGGAATAGCACCTGGTGTATGGGCAGGCACACTCGGCCTGGCTAGTATAGATTTAAAGGAAAAATTTGTCTTTATTACATTTTCAGCAAATTGACAAAACAAGGCATGAGAAATAATGAAAACAAGTAGAAGACCCCCTGACACCTACATAACCTCTATATCAGAGACCACTTGACACCTATCAACCATTATATACTGTAAGACCCCCAATACTACAGGACCTCTCTCTCAATATATATGTATAATATATATATATATACATAGATACATATACATATATGGTCAAGACTGAATTTTCATACTACAGGTCAGTTAAAAGGATCCATGTGAGAAAAGGTCACAAGAGATGGACAAAGACTGCAGACATACTACAGGAGATGGTCAGAGACTGCATACATACTACAGGAGATGGTCAGAGACTGCAGAATACTACAGGAGACAGAAACTGCAGACATACTACAGGAGACAGCCAGAGACTGTGGACATACTACAGGAGACAGCCAGAGACTGTGGACATACTACAGGAGACGGTCAGAGACTGCAGGCATACTACAGGAGATAACCTCTATATCACAGAGATTGCAGACATGCTACAGAGACATCAGAAACTGCAGACATACTACAGGAGACAGCCAGAGACTGTGGACATACTACAGGAGACGGTCAGAGACTGCAGACATACTACAGGAGACAGAAACTGCAGACATACTACAAGAACCTGTCAGTCAGAAACTGCAGACATACTACAGGAGACAGTCAAAACTGCAGACATACTACAGGAGACAGCCAGAGACTGTGGACATACTACAGGAGAACGGTCAGAGACTGCAGGCATACTACAGGAGACAGTCAAAACTGCAGACATACTACAGGAGACAGCCAGAGACTGTGACATACTACAGGAGACAGCCAGAGACTGTGGACATACTACAGGAGACGGTCAGAGACTGCAGGCATACTACAGGAGATGGTCAGAGATTGCAGACATGCTACAGGAGACAGTCAGAAACTGCAGACATACTACAGGAGACAGCCAGAGACTGTGGACATACTACAGGAGATGGTCAGAGACTGCAGATATACTACAGGAGATGGTCTGAGACTGCAGACATACTACAGGAGACAGTCAAAAACTGCAGACATACTACAGGAGACAGCCAGGGACTGTGGACATACTACAGGAGACAGCCAGAGACTGTAGACATACTACAGGAAATGGTCAGAGACTGCATACATACTACAGGAGATGGTCAGAGAATGCATACATTCCTCAGGAGATGGTCAGAGAATGCAGACATAGTACAAGAAATGATCTAAAACTGCAGCTATTCTGTGTATAGAGATCAGGGTTGTTAGAAATGGAATAGCACCTGGTGTATGGGCAGGAACACTCAGCCTGGCTCATATAGATTTAAAGGAAAATTTGTCTTTATTACATTTTCAGCAAATTGAAAAAACAAGGCATGAGAAATAATGAAAACAAGTAGAAGTAGATAAACATAAGACAAACCACATCACAGGTGTGACTATGATCCATGTGGGTAGATGAAAATGATTCCATACAACAGAAAGATGGAAGGATCAATAACATAGTATCACATATTACGGAGATATGAATAAACAGAGTTTCAAGGGGGCATCCCCAGCGAGATGTAAGGAAGAAAATGAGATAGCTGTGCATGATCAAGAGTATAAACCCAAACTAAAAAAAAAGAGAAGAAAATATAAGGAGAAGAGAAAAAAGAGAAATCAGTTGTAGAGATTGAGAAAGATGAGACGAGAGGGGGTCAGGAGACAGGAATGGCAAAAAGCAGAACCAAGGCTGTCCTCTACTAGTATCCAACAGGGTGATTCTGTCAACCGCACCTGGCGCGAGCCGCGAGGCCACACTGGCAGACCTTCCAGAAAGAAAATGAATTGCGGGAGCAAAGCTCAATTCTATCAGGGCACGACAGGGGAACACATATCACGGAGAGTCGAAGAGGACAAATGGTGGCTCATATAGATTTAAAAACAGACACACTAAGTTGCTGGGCTGACAATCACAATCTTTCACTGACCTGCCTCACACAATGCAGGTTGCTCCAAGACCACTCCTCGATGCACTCTGTCTGCAACCTTTAGCACTTAGTCCAACTTGCTGTTCCCTATGGCAAGGATGTGGACTGTGACCCCACTGTAGTCCCCAGGAAGGAAGGTGCCTAGAGCAGCCCACGCTGCCCTCATCCACTGGGTCCACTATTCTTTATCCCTGCCAGCATCTGAGTCCTCTCAAAATGCTGCTCAACCACCAGCAGGGATGTTGTGGCGGCCCTGGATGGTGTCACCCCCTGAACCCCCATAGCTACGCCACTGAATATTACACTCACTCTTCCACTATGCAAAACTTCATTATACTTTCTTTACAAGTATAATGAACAAAACAATAAGACTTGGTCAAAGCAAGCAGCTCCTTGGAGTAAAAAATGCTTTATCTGATCATTTGTATCACAATGTAAAAAGAATAAATTATCTTACCCATCTGTTCCCCTGGTAGTACCAATATTTTGCATTGTTTTACATAGAATGGTGCTGAAGTCCCTATTCTTTTTTTTTTTTCAGAGATGCAGATAGGAGCTACTTGATCCAAATATAGTATGATACCACAGTCAATATATAAACTGTATTGAAATGTTCAAAAGATCTGGTTGCCAGCTTATTACAGAAAGAGACCGCTAGGAAGTACTTCAGTATTATTGAAGAAAAAACAGGAGCATAAGACCAATTATTTAGACACCACAAAGTGCATATTTCATCATGAAATATCAAAAGGATAAGTAAATGTGTTTCCATGTTCAAACAGACCCCCTTAACTGGGGTTAATGGAACCTGAATTAATATGACAAATATCAATTCAGCAATGAAAAACTACATAACATTAACAAAAATCTATAAACGTGACATTAAACATTCATCCATATGAAAGGTTGTTTGGTTTAAAATTACCCCTAATAAGACAAGGATAGGAATTAAAATAAAAACAAATTGACAAGTTTACCATATAATGTGGAGGATAAAGAATACAAGGTTAAATGTAATTATAGTGAAAACACCATTGGTTACATAAACTCTAGTCACAGCATGATAATAGTGCCCAAAGGATATACCAATACCGTCTTTGCAGGGTGTCCTAGACTCAAAGAAGAAAATTTGAAAAATAGAAGGTGGAAATGCTGCACACCAGAACCCAGTCACTATATAGAGAGGCCGTATTTTTTTACCTCTCTATATAATGGCTGGATTCCAATGTGTGGCGTTTCCACCTTCTGTTCTCAATCTGTTTCTGCTAGCCTGAATTGTTTGAACATCGGCAGCCGATCTGTGCTTATTACTACAGGGGGAAGTCTTGAGTGACACTTGTATTACCTATAAACCAGTAAAATGGCGTTTTGTAGTTGAAATGATCCTACAAATTTTGTCTAATCTATACTACTCCTTTAACCATTATGAGGCCAATTTGAATCTCTAAAATGTGATTGATTGTTCTTTTGATGTTTTATGATGAAATAAACGATCTCCTAATATTTGGTCTGGCACTCCTGATTTTTCCCAAACCTCTGTATTTTTTGCATTTTTATTGTATGTCTTTGATGGAAAAATTAAATCCCTCAGTTTATCCTGGAAACCACTGTAAAAAGGACAGAAAGTAGTGGGCAATTTCAGTTATGTTGTTAACTATAACATTTTGAAGAAAAATCTTTCAATAGGGACAACTATTCCAGTGGCTGTCTAGGAAGATTTTGCCTTGCTTTGGAGAGATTTCCTTCACTGGTGTCTCCAGGACAGAATAAAAATGAAAACTGGAATCTGTCTTGATATGATCCTCATGCAATGCCCTGCACAGAATAACCAGGAGTATATAGCAGAGTAGAAGTCCTCTCAGTATGTTTCTGCTGCTTTATTGTCCAGTTGGTGGTTGCAGGCAGGGGGGAGTCCTCTTAACAGTAAAAGAATAAGTGGTGTCACCCTTCTGGTTGTGCAGTCTGACAGAGGTGCACAAATCCCAAAAATTGGCTGCACAAATTACAAATTCTCTGACAGGTAAGACTAAGCAAGGTAAGTAATATAGCTTCAGCTGTGTCTTCAGCTGTTTGCCCGGAATTTAGCATTAAGAACTGCTACATACCATACATTACTCAACAACAATAGAACACAATAGAAAAGGGTTTCTAGGGGAAAAAAACCCAAAGAAAATCTAAAGATTTGCTGTAAACATGCTTAACCACTTGCCTACCAGGCACTTATACCCCCTTCCTTACCAGGCCAATTTTCAGCTTTCAGCACTGCCGCACTTTGATTGACAATTGCGCGGTCATGCAACATTGTACCCATATGAAATTTTGATCATTTTTTTCTCACAAATAGAGCTTTCTTTTGGTGGTATTTAATCGCCACTGGGCGCTTTACTTTTTGCGCTATAAATACAAAAAGTGCAAAAAATTTGAAAAATTTTATAATAGAAACAAAGAAACTTTTTTTTTTTTTTCAAACAGGTAATTTTTCTCCTTCACTGATGTGCGTTGATGAGGCAGCACTGATGGGCACTGATAGGCGGCACTGATGAGCACTGATAGGCAGCACTAAATGGCACTGATAGGCAGTACTGAGGTGGCACGGACAGGCGGCACTGATAGACAGCACTAATGAGGTGTCACGGATAGGTGGCACTAATATGCAGCACTGATAGGCGGCACTGATAGGTGACACTGATGATGGGTACTGATAGATGGCACTGACTGGCATCACTGCTGGGCACTGACTGGTGGCACTGACTGGCAGCACTGGTGGGTGGCACTGGTGGGTGGCACTGGTGGGTGGGCACAGGGGTGGGCACAGGTGGGTGGCACTGCTGGGCACAGATGGGTGGCACTTCTGGGCACAGGTGTGTGACACTGCAGAGTGACACAGGTGGGTGCACTGCTGGGCACAGATGGGTGGCACTTCTGGGCACAGGTGTGTGACACTGCAGAGTGGCACAGGTGGGTGCACTGCTGGGCACAGGTGGGTGCACTGCTGGGCACAGGTGGGTGATCTGCTGGGCACAGGTGGGCGGAGCTAGTGGGTGCACTGCTGGGCACAGGTGGGCGGAGCTTGCGGGTGGCACTGCTGGGCACCGATCATCAGGGCACTGATCATCAGTGCCCTGATGATCGGTGCCGATCCCCGCTCTGACAACTGCCGGTTCTCGGCAGTACTTTCCTCACGATCTGACAGCGTGAGGAAAGTGCAGCCGAGAACCGGCACTTGCATTTTCCTCTGATCAGCGTGTCATTGGACACCGCTGATCACGTGGTAAAAGGCCGCTGTGATTGGCCTTTTACCACATCACGTGATCAGCTGTGTCCGTAGGACACAGCGATCACGGAGATCGCCGGGTGCGCGCCCCCTGGGGCGCGCAGGAGAGCGCGTTCTGGGACGACGTCAAACGACGTCCACCCAGAACTGGCCGGCCGCAGTGCAGCCGTCATTCGGCTATCTGCGGTCGGCAGGTAGTTAAAGCAAGAAATCATATTATTGGGTTAAATATGTATTAATATTTTTACTTAAAAGAATATTCCAAAAAACATACAAAGCCCAATGTCCATGATATAGAGATGCACTTTGATCATGGCTTCATAGGAACTCTGGCATACTGAAAGCAGGATTACGAGCATAACTGCAAGGGAAAGTAATTACCAAACTTTTTGCCTTACTCAGGAAAAAGGAAGCCAGACATTCTGATTGTGATGTATGATCTAGTAATGTAGTTTAATGAAGAACTGTTTTCTCTGCCCTATTTTACGTCCTCCGGCAAGATTTTTTTTTTTGCAACTGATACAGCAGCATGCTATATTACAATATAATTTAAATAAAGTGCCAAACATATTTTATGTAAACAGAATGCTTCAAATTATGAAGCCATATTATAGGTAACTGTATAGGTCCAAACACTTTTTTTTTTTTTACAAAGTTGTAAACTGATATATTGCTGAATAAGCTTCCACAATATCTATCTATCTATCTATCTATCTATCTATCTATCTATCTATCTATCTATCTATCTAAGACAATGCTGTCAAAATTCTTAGATATGAAACATGTCAGATATAAAATATAATCCACAGCATAAACTGTCCCTAATAATCAATACCATTTGTGTCTGTTGTGTAGTAAGTTACTTTTCCATGAGGCTAATTTAGATGCAGGTCAATAACATAGCTTCATATTATACATAGATCTTCTTTTCTTACTCTAAGTGCCTCATTTACTCTCCTGTCAATTAGTAAACAAAGCTTTCCTACACAAATCATCATTTAGGCATTTATTTACAAATGTATGGTTTGATCACTCAGTCTGTAGTGGTAAAGAATTGTTATTGCAGTAACCATATAGATGGCCTAATGTTAGCGCACTGTTTAAGCAAGTTGAATTGTTCCTGTACATATATTATGTGAAAAACAGACTTTAAAATCAGCTATAAGCATTTTTGTTCTTTCCATGTTTGACCACTTAGAGCAGGGGTGTCAAAATCAATTTCATCGTGGGCCGCATCAGCATTATTGTTACCCTCAAAGGGCCGTTTTTTTTCTGTAAGACTAGATGTCCAGAGCAACCAACCCCTCCTTACATCAGATGTGAAAAGCCTCCCCCCACTATCAGAAGTCATGAGTCCCCCACCCTCTCTAACATCACAGTGCACCTCCCTTACCTAGTGCTGTGGCCGTGAAGAAGCTGGGGGCAGAGCTGGGAAGAAGAAAGTACAGGGTCTGGAGAAAGACCAGAGGAGGACTGGAGTCAGCTGAATGCTGGAACCAGGGGAGGCGGAGAGAAAGAGGTGCTGCAGCTGCACAGAGAGGCACTGGATCTGTAGGAGGAGTTCTGTCATCTCTACTGCCGACTGCTGAGACAAGGAGAGGGTGGAGACAAGGGGGGTGCCACAGCTGCAGGAGAGGTGTGAGGGCCACATGGAATGGCCTGGCAGGCCGGATTCGGCCCGCGGGCCTTGTGTTTGACACACGTGACTTAGAGCGTATGCCTGTCTTTTTTAAAACGGAACATTATAATCTAGAAAGGGTCACTGGCCTATATTTTAGTGGCACCACACCCACAGACTCATTAGACTGTAATGCAAACAAGAAATGGGACTTTCTGGGTGCGGTACATTACAAGCAGAAAATGTATAAGAAAATATTCTGTACTTCAGTTATTTATACTCAAGCATTAGTCTTTAGATAAAAACACTAAAAGGCTTAATAAAAGCCCATTAATATATGACATATCAGAAGAAATAGCTTAAAAAGTTGCTTCATTTGTTTTATATCAGGTAAATATGTGCTACAATCATGAAGATTGCCCAGATAGAGTCACAGCAGGGATCATACATTCATAACAACAAAATACAATAATGTCACATAATATAACAGTCCTCTCCAGGGTGAGAGCTTCCCAGTTCTCCAATATAGGATAACCACAAGGAACGCTCCCTCCCCCACCGAATATAAAATGCTCATTTATGACAGTGAGATATCAAGATGTAATGTGCTAGTCCCATCCAGGAATGAAGATAGGAGTCAATCTTTTGACATTTCACAGGGTACCCTGCTTCTTCAGGATATTTGAGCTCTAAATAGTTCTATATATATACTGTATGCTTAGCGTCTGCTGAGTGTGTATATATGGGGTCCAAACCAGGGGCGGACTGACAACTCATGGGGCCCCTAGGCAATAAGGGATCATGGGGCCCCTGTGTCCTTGCCCAAACTCACAAAAGCCTATGAAAAAGGTACCAAGGGCATCTCATGGGGCCTCCTACTGACCCTGGGCCCTCGGGCAGTGCCCAAGTTTCCAATTGGTCAGTCCGCCCCTGGTCCAAACGAGTCAGTGACTGAACCAGTCCCCACACAGGAAAGCCAACTTGGCAGTACCCTGGTCAAGGTTGGAGAATCAAAGAAGAATAAAATATACTCCATGTGCTTGCACTCTTCCCAGCTGGGTGATATAACCAGGTGTGATAGTTCCCCAAGAGCCCTGGGGTGGCTCTATTTGGGCAATTTTCATGGTTGTAGCACGTATCTACCTGATGTAAAGCAACTGAAGCTACTTTTAAGGTTTTTCTACTCATATGTCTATGTTAATGTACTTTTAAAGAGAAAAGCTTGGGATTACAAAAAAAATAAACATACATACTCACCTAGGTGGATGTAGCATTGGTCTGATGCTGCGTCCGTCCCCTGCAGTCTCTAAGACAGAAAAAAGTTTCCGGTTTTCAGAGAACAGAGGGTTGGTGACTGACAGTCACCGGCTCTCCGCTCTGCCCCTCCTTTTCTTTTAAAGCGTTACTAAACCCACAACAGTAAAATCAGTCTGTATATGCAGTAAAACATGCTTGTTATACTCACTTTGGAACCTAAGGGGTTAATCTGCATTGTGTAAAAAGGATGTTTGATCCTGACTGGTATGATCCCCCCTTCTTCCAGTGTCCTCCTCTTACCTGCTGATTAAACATATCATGTGGAGTCATTCTGCACATGCTCAGTTTGGTGTTTATTGCTAGAGAGGTTTTTTTTGGGGGGAGAGTGCATGTGATCAGCACAGGGCCAATCAGCACTTTCCAGACAGAGGGTCAGGGGTTCTGCATCCTCCAACAGCAAAATGAAAACTCCTCCTACAACCTTTAACCAGTGCTCTGCTGGGCACTGATAGAAGTCACAAGACTGCCATATACTGCTAATGAGAAATGGTATTTAGCAGTTTATATTTACTAAAATAATTGCACTTCCAGGTTCTGTGTGCTGTGGGAGATCAGATATAGTGAATGCAGGGTCCTGGGTCTAGTAACACTTTAATATGCCTTTTAGTTTTTTTATCTAAAAACTAAAGCTTTAGCATAAATAAATAACTTTGTAATACAGATTATTTTTTGATATTTTGTATTATAATTTTGCTCATTAGTAATGTACAACACCCAGAAAGTCCCATTTCTTATTTGTGATACTATCTATTAAACAGAAAATTATTTCATCTGTTAACATTTCACTAATTAATTAAAATATTTTCAGCTAGCAACTTACTGGTAAAAAAAAACCTCCTGAAAAATAGTCACACTACAGCTGAAGGAAAAGTTGAATTGTTAGCCATTGTTTCTGCCACTTTCTCAAGAAATGTCAGCTGTAAAATTATTAAACTGTGCTACACGTAACTATTATTAGCCAAACAGAAGTCTATAGTGCATGTTGGGAATTTTTTCCAGTCCATTTATTCTACTCAGTAGGATAGTGAGCTTGTCTGTTCATGAAAACATTGTTCACATTCTAAATTGGTAGCAGTAGTCACCAAACGTTTAACACAAATATACAACAATAATTATCTATTTAACTCCTTCCTTTCCAGTATTTGTAGATTTACCTTGCCACACAAATGCAGAGAACTTCAATCAATATTCTATTTTGACAGCTAAGATTATGCAGCACTACATGCTCCTAGATGTCAGACTGAATGTTATTAGCTGTCACACTGCAGGCTAATAGCTGTCAGATGGTGCTGTCATTGACCGCTCCCAGTCTCTACCAACGATCAAGAACAAACCAGCAAGCTTCCTGATCATATGATCAGCTATAACATGGTGAACGAAAGCCTTTGCGTTTACAGAGGCAGTGACAGCTTATGTCATCACCTCACAGGGTTAAAATAATATAATATATTCACTCTGGATTCAGGTAAAAAAATATGCAATGTACTGTGCAAATTTGAAATCTCAATTTGCACAGCGAAAAGAAAGAAATTCTTATTTTAAAAGTAGACATTACAATGTTTTAAAAAATAAAAGTTTTCACATTTTTGTTCATTTGTCAGCCTATAATAATAAATCTGAGCAGGGTATTTGTTAAAACATTGTACTAAATAATAATAATAATAAAAAACAATAGCAACGAATGTCTAAAAAAAACAATGTAAAAAGATATAAAGGTAGACAAATTAGTCATGAGTTATGGTCAAGTAATCCTAATGTATAATAATGCTGCTACTTTTGGTCTAGGCATCTAAGAATCACTGACCCTGTTAACGAATTAAGAACTGGTAAGTAGATACAGTGTATGTATGTTCATACTGTATGGAAGTGTGCTTGTCATTTTCTTTTGACAGAGAAGACACCCCTGCACTGAAGACACTGAATGCCTCCCCTATCACTTTAGTTTCACCTTTAATATCTGGGGAAATCTTGGGAAAATGAAACAATCAGCTGTTAAAACTGAATTGGGACCTCTGATGTTCCCTTTGGAACAGTTGGAATGTTTGCAGTAAAAGTGATGTTCACACTCTCTTTAGAGTAAAACTGTTACAAACTGGGACAATAAAAGCTCATCTTTAGACAAAATATAGATCATATAAAATCATTATATCCTATCTGCACAACATATTTCAAAATGGTGTTTACTTGTATTCATATTGAATATATTCAGATATGTTTAACCCTGCGATGTCATCGCAGAGTATTGATAAAAGCCAGTGTCAGGAAAAGCCATGGGATTGACATAATTAGCATCTTAAGTGGCTTCCTGCATATGCTGTCACTCTCCACAAGCCTACAGGCAGTCTGTGGGATGTTGGTAACTGATCTGGTTGTAGGGGTGTGGACTAAAGCATGATTGTTGACAGGGCAACACGTGTAGGCTTGTAGGCAGTTGCCTAAAATGTGATTAGCATATTGCACTAAAGGGTTAATGCTTGGCGACTCAGAGGTTAACAGTGAGTGCTCTGGTGTGCCTTCCTCTGCATGTGTAATGTCCTGCCTTCTGGAGATGATATATGCCAGAGAAGGCTAGCCCTTGTGGTTAGACAATCATTGGAAGTGAGCAGTGAGGACCATGCATGGAAGGTGTGAACAGGTGTGTATCTATTGAGTTACCCCACAGCTGGACCCTGGCATGGGTTGGAGAAGTGAGTTGCTATTGGGACATTGGAATGTATGAGCACCACAGAACAACACTATTTGAGAAAGAGAGGATGGATGAAGAACTGAATGTTTTTTTCTCCAGCAAACTAACACCTGAGTTGCTGGAGATGTGTTATGAACTGTATATGCAAGTGATTTACTTCAGTAAAAAAAGTTCTGATTAAGTAATATTGCCTGGCCTGATTTATGGAAAGAGACAGTCTGCTTCTACAGTGTCCTGGTGAACTGGGGAATGGGGTGTACCATTAAAAGTTAACCCTTTTAGTTAGGAAGTGAGTAGTAATAGGAAGGAGAAGCAGCCAGGTTGGGAGAGGGAGCGGAGGTGGCCGGTGATGGAGCTTTCCTTAAGCAGACTGGGCTGACACCAAGTGTTTTCAAGGCCTTGCAAAGAAAGTGTGGTAGCTTCCCTCTTTGCCTTTGGTTTGGACATGACAAAGTGTAAAGTGTGATAACAGCTGGTGGAGAGACTCAGCACTCAATGTTGTATCTCTCAAAATGTCTGCAGTCGGTCCCAGAACAGATGTCATTGGCAGGAGTAGAGGACGGTATTCTCCTGTATGCAGGTTTTTTTAGACTTAATTTGACCTCTGACCTTGAGGTGCACTAACCCACCTGTGAAACACTACAGATCAGTCAGTATTCAGTTCCCACATACTTAGAAGCTGGGGTTTAAAAAGGCAAAGTGGTTTGGAAGCTGGGAAGGGAAAGCTGGAGTAAATTTCACCAGCATATTCAGTCAAATCTTTCCACTGCACACAGCACTCACATCAACGCTGCCTGTAGTAGGGCTACAGCAAGGCAGTAAGGTGGCAGGTCACACCCTGCAAGTAGTAACAGGCAGAGGTGAATGGTAGCAAAAAATAGTTTATTTTCTCTTATTAGAGATAAATTAAAGATTTTTTTTTTTCAGTAATAAACATGCTATAGTTACCTATTCAATGCAGGGGTTTTGCACAGAGCAGCCCTAATTCTCTTCTTCTTGGGTCCCCCGCTGGTGCTTCTGACTCCTCCCACCTACAAGTACTCCCCCCCAGCAAGCATCTTGCTAGCGGGGGTAGCTGAGCACAACTGGCTGCAGTCCATAGACTCATACCGATTGTGCGCAATAGGGACATGGAAGCTGTACACAACAGCCATCTTGTTAAGGTATTAGCCATTTTATTATGAGCAGTGACCTTCCACCCCCATCCTCTTGAAAACGGTGGAATTTGTAGCTGCAAGTTTTAATGAACTTTAAAAGAGCCTCTTATCACCACTAAAACACTATAGGCGCCAGACCTAATTAGTGTTGGCAGGATGTCTTTTTCCATGAACCATAAAAAATCCTTTCCTCTGCGCTATCGTAAAACAATAATAACTCAGTCAAGCCTGTCACACATGACCTGTAAGGCCATTAAAGCTCTAGGAATGCAGAGCGTGCCATAAAATGTCTATTCCACAACTTAACAATTCCACATACAATTCACAGAATTCCACAGGAACAGGACACATTAATATTAGGTATGTATTTGAATGGGGAATATCATAATGAATAAATCAAGGTCATACAGTACATAATTACCCTGCCTCCTGGGTGACAGAGGTGCGTTGTGTTTGGTATCCCTGGATACAAAATATAATTCTGAATAATATTCTGCCAGTTTCTAGAATACCACCTGCACATATTGGAAGTTATTACTATTAGTATGAAACTGTAGTTGTGACTTGGTCATAAATGTGGTGTTCTCCCAGCATCCATCCCTTAAACCAGATGATTGGTCAGTTGTTCTCTGTCCACACCTCTTTGAGAGCCATGGCAACATTTCTACTTGGACTATTAGACTCTGCTAAAACCAGGACTTTGCAAGTATTCTCCATTTTCACCTCCTTTTTCTTTCTCTGTTGCATTATTGTTCTCTTTATGTATTTGTAAAATGCTTTCTGTAAATATTTTAATTGCACCATTTTGACATTTTCATTAATAAACCCTAAATTGAAAAGTGTTGAACGGTCTCTAAGGCTTTTAATGCAAACTAAATAATCCCTGTCTCTTGAAGAGTGCTACTGTATATAATAATCCTCTGAATATACCTGTCTGTGGTGACAGTGTGTGTTGCAGATGTTTATGCTAAAATCATAGTGTTACTGCTAAGATTTGTGAGTTTCCTCCTTCTCGGTAAAAAGGTGGTGGTGGTGGTGGCAGTTTAAAGAGTTAATTGCTAATTAACCTAACCCAGTGACAATAGTTCTGAGGCTGCTGGCATAGATTGCAGTCCTGAGATCTGGAAAATCTTTATGCAGGGTGCAACTTAGAGTGGCATTGTTATGCAAGTGACAGCATGGTGTGATATTGGCTGGTCCTTTGTCATGAGTTGGTGAGAAGGGCAGGGTTTGGGCACAGTGCTCATCACACCCTCCACTCACTCCTCACTTGCTGTGATTGACAGCAGTGGGAACAATGGCTCCCGTTGTTGTCTCTGAGCCAATGAGAAGGAAGAAAGTCGGGACAGCAGCCACTTTCATTCACACTGCTGGATCGGGATCAGACTCAGGTAAGTATTAGGGGGGCTGCGGGGGAAAGCTGCATATTGATGGTTTTTACCTTCATGCATAGAATGGATGAAGGTAAAAAACCTTCAGCTTTTACAATTACTTTAGGATGCATTTGCTTTTTTACTGGAGATTGTGATTCACTGAGAAAAACAGAAGAACCAA